GCCACCGCTGCTTCCTCCTTCTTCTCGGTGGCCTCCAGCCGTCAAACGCCGCCGGCCATCAAGCGTCGCCGTATCTTTTACGACAGATGGAAAACGGGAGGGCGGAGGGAGGAGAAAGAGGCGGGCCGGAGAGAAGGGGGCGGAGCCACGGCGGGGGCGGGACAGAAGCTGCCGGGGGCCGGGCCACCGGTTCCCAGGCCCGAAGAGTGAAGTCCAGTAGAGTTAAGTGCAGGGGTCTGGGCATCCAATTCACTCGTGAAAAAAACATCGACCCTGCCAAACCAAACACGTGTTGGGCCCCTTTGCTACTGATGGATTCAACAGCCCCAAGATTTAAAAAAACACACACACAACTTTGTTGCTGTAAAAATGACTATCCTCTCGCGGGGCGAAGTGACTCACTACTGTAATCCCAGCACTTTGGGAGGCCAAGGCGGGCGGATCACGAGGTCAGGGGTTCGAGACCAGCCTGACCAACATGGTGAAACCCCGTCTCTACTAAAAATACAAAAACTAGCCGGGGGTGGTGGCGCAAGCCTGTAATCCCTGCTCCTCAGGAGGCTGAGGTAGGAGAACTGCTTGTACCCGGGAGGCGGAGGTTGCAAGGTTGCAGTGAGCCCAGATCATGCCACTGCACTCCAGCCTGGGCGACAGAGTGAGACTCCGTCTCAAAAAAAAAAAAAAAAGACTATCCTCGCTGCAAAAACACTTGGAACAATACGAAAAAGTGGGGGAAAAAAAAGAGAGAGAGAAGAAAGAAGAGGAAGAAGAAGAAATGAAAAGGGAGGAGGAGGGGAAGGGGAGCCATCAGAGGCCAGGAGTGGTGGCTCACGTCTGTAATTCGAGCACTTTCGGACGCCGAGAGGTCAGGAGTTCGAAACCAGCCTGACCAACATGGTGAAAACCTGTCTCTACTAAAAATACAAAAATTAGGCTGGGCGCGGTGGCTCACGCCTGTAATCCCAGCACTTTGGGAGGCTGAGGCAGGAGGATCACGAGGTCAGGAGATCGAGACCATCCTGGCTAACA